ACAAGAGTACCATGTTCTGTACGTAGTGGACACTGTGTTTATTGCACGAGTTGATGAATAAACGCATATTTACCTCAGTGTTAAGTAAAAACCAGGATATGAATTAAAATGTGTCTAAACTCCCACTTTTATGCTCAGCCACTAGCCTGTATCTTATCCAAAGAAGTAACCACATTTAAAACTAAATTTGAATATACAAACAGATGTATGATAAATGCCTAACTTGAAATCCACAAAAAAATAAACTTATCTTTTAGCTATGAATCACAAATTAGTTTTTTATAGTCACTTCTCTGAAGCCACCCTCTGCCAAACAACTAGTGTGATTTTTGTACCCAGTAGGCACTCAATAATTACCCATAAAAATAAAAAGTGTTCTAGAGACCATTTATCTCTGTTCCTTCCCAAAACCACATGAAAATGATGGTAAAGGAATAAAAATCCTATGATTCATCAAGAACAAAGACTCTGGTAGAGGAGGTGATAAAAGGTATGACAATAAAATTGACAGTTAGAAAGCAAATGAATAAATGCCCACTGACTTAGGAAAGTGAAGAAAGCCAAAAGCAAAGACAGCCAAAATCAAGGAAAACCAACACCGATAGAGAAAGTAGTCAATGAGAAGCAGATATGTGTGACAGGGCCCTAGAACATTATAGGCACTAAGGGCACCAAGTATTTCTAGAGTCACCAGGAACCTCTAAGGGCTGAAGTAAAGAGTGAGGAACAGGCTGAACATGGTATAGCAGATTCCCTACCCCATCCCGATCGGGTGACAGTTCCTTCCCTTCCTTGGCAGAACACTGGACGTGACTCTCAGAGAAATTCACTAGAGAAGCTTTGGACTTTAGGACACCAGGGTGTGTGGAGGAAACAGTAATTAAGTACTCAATTAAGAAAAGAGTAATTAATTATACTCTACATACTGAATAGTAAGGACCAGCCCCCCACCCCACACACAGTTGTCTTTCCCTGTTCGACCTCAACATCAGTAGCAACCATCCTTATTTTGCCCTCGTTCCCTGTAGTGGGGTTTAGAGGCTTTCTCCTTGGAGAAACTGAAGACCTCACAGAGAAGACCTACAGATGCTGACATTTGAGGATGCCCCAATGAAAAGGCCTATGGCTACCTGATCATCCTATAGAGAACCCATCTTTATCAGACATGATTCTTCTAAAACATACAGTTCTAATTAGCTTTAAGGTGTCTCACTTCAGTCAAAGTTCACCAGACTTTAGAGGAAAGTCTCCCACATGAAAAACAGAGCTCCAGGGTGAAAAGCAAAAAGGAACTTGAGGGTAAACAGACACAATCCAAGGAGCAAAGAAAACCAAGAAAGAAAGAGAAAAGAAAGGAAGAAAGGAGGGATGGAAAGGAGGGAGAAAAGAAAAAAGAAAAACAAACAAAAATAAAACCTCCTTAGGGAGATGGAAGAAGCTATGCCATCTTGCAATAACCAGATGCTGTGACAATCTCTTGATAAGAAAAACAAGAAGATTAAGCAAAGTAAACCAAAACAACATAATTAGAAGCTCCATTTGGAAGGAATGAAGGAAAGAAGAGAGGAAAAAAAGAAAAGGGAAGGGAGGGAAGAAGGGGAAGAGAAAGGAAGGCAAGGGAAGGGAAGGGAAGGAAAGGAGAAAAGAGAAAAGAGAGAATATGCAAGAATATGCAAGAAATATTTTATAGAATCGAGGGCATAAATTTCCTGATCTAAATGGCCCATACACTGCATGCCAGCACTGTGAATGAAAAAGAATTCTCGGCAAGCAATATTTTCATGAAAATCCAGAACCCAAGGATGTTAGAAGATTCCTAAAGCTTTCAGGGAAAAAGAGAAAGAATAGCATCAGGCTTGTCACTGTCACATTGGAAGTTAAAAAATAATGGAGCAATCCCTTCACAATTGAGATTAAATCAATTCCAACCTAGAATATTAATCTCAGCCAAGCCATCGACAAAGTGGGAAAATAGAGAGTTTCATACATACCTTGTTTCAAACACTTTACCTTCCATGTACCTTTTCTCAAGTAACTATTGGTTGATGTGTTTCACTAAAATGGGGATATAGGGCAGGAAGGAGGCGGACACGAGATCCAGGAAACAGGATTTCTGACGCATGGAAGAGAGAAAGGGGTTTCCTAGGAAGAAATCTGCATAGCAAGCCCAGAGAGCAACCAGTTCACAGCAGAAGGATTCAGGAGGTACTGAGAGGATGTTTCTAAGGGGGAAAAAATGGACCTGAGAAATTCCTGGTGAGCTTCACCATGTGGAGAGGAATTTTATAGTTCTGTCAGAAAGTGTAAGAAGGCAGCAGTATCAAATATATAGAAAACTAAGCCAAAGAATAAGGCATTGGTTAAGATATGATCGAGTCCTGCACCAAAAGTTAATATAATTGTAGTGCACCATATGGCTCTCTGAATAATATTTACATTGTCAGATTAACATAAATACTGAATATTTATTTAGACAAAAATTGTAATAGAATTATCTCAGGAGAATGGGGGAAGGGAAGTATTGGCTACAGGTAGAAGAAGGGGAAGGAGTGAGGTAGGTAGAAGAAATCCAAATGCTCATTCTCCATAAAAGTGAGTAAATTACATTTAAGAATGAAAAATCAAAATTCAGAAGTATAAACTTGTTATTTTGAAGAAGCTGCTAAAAGAAGGGAAAGTGGTTGCTCTGGGGAGGGTGAGGTGAAGCAGGAGACTTTCTTTTTAATTTTGTAGAACTATTAAAATTTTTAACTATGTGCTGATATTACTTTGGTAAAAATAAAAATCAAATTGAAATATGTGAGTGTGTGTGTGTGTGTGTGTGTGTGTGTGTGTGTGTGTGTGTGTATGCATGTAATTAGAAACAAAAATGAAAATCAACCAAATAAAAAGGCAGTATCCTGGAAATCCTAATACGGTAGACTCTGTAGATGATCAAAATTCCTATGGACAGAAAATCCTCTTTACATCCAGTTCACTGGATCGCCACACCCACCTCCACCTTATTTCCTTCTCCATACCCCCTAATCAGCACAATTCTTTGCACTTAGATCCCAAAAGATGAAGCTATACCTAAATACTGCACTCAGCACCATCTGGGGAATAAAACAAGAAATAAAACTGGGTCTCTGCCTTATAGTTACATGAATTCTGTTAGAGAGGCTATGTTACAGGCAGGAAACAGATAATAATATAAATTATTCACAATTTAACACTAATTTGTATGGTACAGAGTATATGGAGTTCAGAGATGATGTGCCTGGAGCAGTGGGAGGCAAAGTGGAAGGTGGTGAGAAAGAGACTGGATGCGTAAGCAGTGCTCTGCGGGTCATGTCACGGCTTGCTGGTTTTATCCCAAGTGTAATGGAAAGCCACTAAAAAGATCCAGCCAAGGAGTGACACAATTTTAAGATCATTCTGATTATTGAATGAAGAATGGACTGGAGGGAGGCAAAAACCAACAGGGGGAATAGTTAAGAGACTATTAAAGTGGTTTCAGGTAAGAGATTATGGTGGCTTGGACCAGGATTGTGACTGTGGAGATATGGATGACTAAAGATCCATTATAGAAGTAGAATCAATAAGATTTGCTGATGTCTTCCTTATGTTGAAGACAGAGAGGAAGGACTAGGAGGAGGCAGCAGCTAAGGATGACTCTGAGAATTCTGATTTGAGCAATTGGGTGGATGGTGGAGGAAGATTGGGGAAGAAAGACAAGTTTTAGAGAGGAAGGTTAAAAGTTAGGTATTGAACAAGATACAGATACTTGAGATAGTATTTTGTGATTTAGTGATTTGTCAAGTAATCAGTTGATTCATTGTCCTCTCTATATTCCATCTTCTAGGACACCACATGGGTTTGGGGCTCAGCAACGAAGTCCAGTTTAGAGTCAATTTGGGGGGTTGGAAGCCATGAAAATGTATGAGACCATTTAAGGCAGTGGATTTCAAACCTGGATTGTATGTTAACAGTGCAATTTTCAAGACCTCACCCCAGAGTGTTTCTGATTTAGTAAGTCTTCTTGAGGTCCAGGAATCTGCTTTATTAAAAGCCATCCCAAGTAGTTCAAGTGAGGTGGGGGTGAGGGGGAATGTGAGGCCAAACAGAGATTATATTTTTTTGTATTATTAGCTTTCTTTTTTAAGGTGGGAGACACTAGAGCAATGGTTCATAACCTTGGCTACACATTGTAATCACCTGTTGAGCTTTCGGAAAATATTGATGCCCAGGATCCATCCAAAACGAGTAAATCAGAATCTCCGGAAGTGGGGCCCAGATAATACTATTTTTATTTTTCACTTTAATTTTACTCCCCCTCCTCAAAAAAAAAAAAACAAAAACAAAAACAAAAGCACAACATTGTTTTTATTTCCCCAGTGCCTGGCATAGAGTACGTCTTCAATTCACGTTGAAAAGTATTCCTGGCTAGTTAGCAGATGATAGACAACAGGAAACCACTGTACGGTATTTTAAAGTTCATATAACCTTCATGTGAAAAAGGTTACAGTCCAATTACCTTACTTTCAAATAAGAGAACTGAAACCCGAAAGAATTAAATTCCTAAGTTCTCTCAGCCTTGTGTAGTGGCAAATCATAACCAGAACCTAGCATCATAACTCCCAGGTCACACTGTCCTGCCTTTCGACAATTTTCATTTGACCACTCTCCAAAACCATTCATCTATCAAGATGCAGCCTGTCTAATAATAACCCCCTGTGACACCCTATTTCCTCAGTCACAAACCGACTTTGCCCACCCTATTATCAAATCCGTTCACTCCCAAACCCGCCTCTGTCTGTTCGGGATCCATCCTATCACTATCACAACCTCAAGACCGGCCCCCGGATTTAACCAGTGGGGCCAACAGGACCTCAATGCGCTTGCGCCACTCGGGCGATGGATTTTTGTCGCCATAACAACCGGAGACACACAAATCGGCCTGCAGCAACATGGGAAGACGAGTTCCTGGTACAGTTCTTTTTTGTACATGCTTTCCTTACCGCTTCCCGCGCCTGATGCGTGACTTTGAGGGTCTGGTAAGAAAGCTCCATCAGACTCCGCGTTAGGGCCGGAGAGAAAGGAGAAAAGTAGTTACTGACCGACCAGTAAGTACACCCAAAGAATGCAGCTCGGGGAAACCTGATGCTTAACCAGCCCGCCCCTTTCAGGATTGGCCAGAGCCTAGACAGGTCAACCAATCACTAGGCAGAGATGGATTCTTTACCATGCCAATCAATGTTAAAATTAGCATGTTTAATCCAGAGAGTTTTCATGGCACTGACCAATCAAGAGACCGAGAAGCAATGATTGTCAGGGCTTGGGGCGGGGTTTGCAATTGTTATGGTTCTCTTAATTCTGTCTCTAAAATGCAAGTTAACCATATAATTTGTCCTTTCGGTTCAGGCCTTTGTAAACCAATGCTTATGTTCCCAAGACTATACTTTGACATCCCTCTTCCTCCCCAGTAAGGTAAAAGTTTGTAAATGCCTTCTTGCTTTACTTTGAAATTGTCTGTACGTGGTCCTTTTAGACTGGAAGAATCTGCTGTGGAGTTTTTGTTTTGTTTTGTTTTTGTTTCTGGCTGTCAGAGGCTTTTTGGGATGCAGACTGTGCATCAAACTTTTCCTTCTCCAACGCCTTCCACATCAGACCTGCTCTCATTAGAAGTGGACAAACATGGACTTTCCATTTCCTCTGCTCCCTTTTCTTCGTGTATTAACTATTCTGTCTTTAATGGTTTTCCCTCTGTCTCTCTTGCTGCGAATCCTGTTCTAAACCCTCCCTCTCTTTGTTAATTTTGGTCTTCTTCACCCATTCTCTCCCCACAGGTTAACAAAAATATTCAAGTCTCCTCATTCTAACAAAAAGTTCTCATAATTGTTCAATTAAATCACCTATCTCTCATTTACTTTAAACTTTCTGAAAGGAATGGCTGTCCTCTCCCTCAGGTCTCATCTCCCATTTATTTCTCAGCACATTCCGCCCATGCTCCTTTGAAGCTGTTCTTGCTAGAGTCACCAATAACTTCTTAATTAGGAAATCAAACTATAGATTATTTTACACTCTTTATCTTATTTAAACTTAGCACCATTTGAAGTTGTTGACCATTTTCCATTAGTAATAATAACTATAATTTATTAGTCATCTATAATACTGGAAAACTTACTATGTGATTTATGTGGCTTCCTAATTTAATCCTAACATCCTATGGAAAAGTTATTAATATTCACAATTTACAGTTGTGGAAACAGGCTCAAAGAGGCGAATTAACCAATTCTAAGTTATCCATCAAGATGCATTTTCCAATCACCACCCTTACTCCAAGCAGAGCTTAGGTGAAGAGATAAGTAATTCCCAATTCCACTACATACATTTCATGCTGCATTTATTACACTGTTTTGTTGACATGATTTTCAAAAAGTTAAAAAACATGACTCTTTGATATCAATGGACCCATGTCAAAGTTTTTACCTAACTCATTGAGGAAGCCAGTGAGACGGTTTAAAGAGCATTTTGAGGAACTGGACATGTATAGGCATTTTTAGAAAACAATGTTAAAACAAAATTGTTAGGTTAGATACAAAACTGGTTAAAATTCTACAGGGCAATCAAATCATAACTTTTGAAATTTTCTTTTCTAATGAGCATAGATTCATTCCTCTAGTTTTGGTCATTTACATTTTTTTGTGCCCATTTACATTTAATTTTAACTAATTAAAATTAATATTAAATAAAGTTAAAAATTCATTCCCTCAGTCACACTCGCCACATTTCAGGTATTCAATTTTCACGTGTAGCTAATAAATTGGACAATACACATAGAGAACATTTCCATCATCACAGAAAGTCATACTGGATAGCGCTTGGCTCTCTTAAACATTGCTCTAGTATGACATTAAAAGGACATGCTGTACTCTCTTTTGCCTTATTTCCAAATTTAATACTTTTTTTTTTCTAAAGAATCTCCCCTACATGACCATTGGCTTTCAAATTCTTCTAATCAAGACTCACTTTAAGAAATACATTTTTGTTCAACTAATATTTAACAAGAGAGCCAAGAATACTCAATGGGGAGATAATAGTCTCTTCAATAAGTGGGAAAACTGGATATTCACATGCAAAAGAATGAAATTGAATCCCTATCTTACACCACTCACAAAAATTAACTTGAAAGAGATTAAGGATTTAAAATGTAAGACCTGAAACTAAAAATCTCCTAGAAGAAAACACATGGAAAAAGCTCAACATTAGTCTTGGCAATGGCTTTTTTCAGATATGACACCAATAGTACAAGCAACAAAAGCAAAAATCAATAATCGGAACTACATCAAACTAAAAAGCATCTGCACAACAAAATAAATGATCAACAAAGTGAAAAGGCAACTTAAAGAATAGAAGAAAATATTTGCAAATCATCTTTCTGATAAGGGGTTAAAATCCAAAATATACTATCTGTAGAAACTCATATAACTCAACAGCAAAAACACAGACGACTCAATTCAAAAATGAGTAGGGGACTTGAATAGACATAAACTACATGAAAAGGTGCTCAGCATCACTCAGAATCAATGTTTTCAATGTATCAGTGTATTGCTTCTTAAACTACTAATACCTACAGAAAAAAACAAAAACTGCTAAGAAAATTTTATTTTTCCCTCCTTTATAAAACACATTAAAATTTTTTATGCTTGAGTTTTAAAAACTTGTTTAAATAATTATCAAAGTAACAAAATTGTCTGGTGTGCACAGTAATGATGCTTCCAAGGTGTGTCATTTGACATTTATGAAATAGAGCTCAAGCATACCAGTGTTTCTCAAGACATATTATTTTACTAATTACTGAAAAACAGTTCAACTTCAATTGGAGAAAGCAAGTTATTCATTCTACTTGTTCTTTCTCTTACAGCAAGGATGTTTTAGAGGGTGAATTCTGAGTGCTTTTTTAATCATAAGCTTTTTATTTTATTGATTATTCTCTTCAAATTGTACATTCATCTGTCAGTCTCTATTCCTTTCTCTCCACTAGCCTCTCCTCAAGTAAACACCTTGAAATTTTGTATTCACAATCTCACTTAAGTCAAATCATCTTCAGCAGAGTGCTCTAAGCATGCGAAAATGAGGGGGAGTTTTCGAGAGTGATAAGAAATGCACCTGCCTAACTGCACACTCCATGACAGTAAACTATAAGTCATGCCTGAATATATATTGTTAAAACTCCATTTTTTTATGTTGCTACAAAAATATATCCTACCATTCTTTAAAAACTGTCAATTCTGTCAAGAGAGTTGAAGAGAAAAAGTTTTACTCATACTTTTGTGTTGGTATAAATCCCTCTCTGCCAACAATTGTAGAAACACGAGAATAAAGAGCTTTTATCGACACTTACCCAAAAAAATGAAATCTGGTTTTTGCCCCATTGCTGTTATGTGTCATTTTCTAATTTACCCTAAATGGTAACACAATGTTTGCTATATTTCCTTAACTTCATCTTCACAACAGTCCTCTCGCTACAGTTCAGAACTCCTCTCTAGAGTCACACGGACTACGACTGGAATCTTTACTGCTTTGAGATTTTAGGAAAGGTGTTGGACCTCTTCAGGTCTTGTCTCCTCATCTGTAAAATGGGAACAGTAACACCCTCTCGTAGTGTTGCAAGAATTAAATGAGACCACATGTGGGAAAGACCGTCTTGACTAAGAGACTGTGTTTTCTTTGTTTGTTTTTAGGAGAATGAATAATCAACAAAACAAAGACACCTACCCATATTAATTTTAAAAATGAAAGGAATGGATTTTATTGGAAGAAGCGTGAGCAATTTAGGTCATTAAGCCAAGGAAACATCGAACATCTTCAAACTTTTGTAAACTGCACGTCTCTCAGCACAAATTTTCAAGAAAAAGAATCTGATTGCTTCTCCTTGTCTGACAGATGGGCTTTTCTCAGCCAGTGTTCCATCCAAATCTAATCAGTTATGGCTAGGGAGAAGGCTCCCATGACACAAATAGGTTTCTGGGGCCTATGAGAAGAGCGAGGCTGCCGCATAGCTCGTGTACATGGATAAGAGTTTCTGTAGGCTAGTACTTCCTAAACTTTTTCATGTCATAGCACACAAAGAAAATGATAAAATTTCTGTGGCATGTTGATAAGTTGGAGGGGATTTATGAACATCTATATGTAGCTTGGTGAAAAAACTCACCATTAATTATAAGAAAAAATGAATGCTAAAGTATTAAGGAAAATATAAAATATTAAATCTGTATAACACTTTACAAATAAAAAATTTCAAAAGTTTTAATGAAAAGCCTGAGAACACTTTCATAATCAGATTTCACATTTGAAATATCCATACTTCCCGATTAAACATTTTAATGACAATACCTTTAAATTCTTGTCGGTACAATCGATAAGAAATTTCACATTTTTACAATCATCCAAAAGTTGAAATTACATTTAAAAAATCTAATAGCTATTCCTTTTCTATCATTAACAAATTGATTTTGAATTTTTTTATGATAAATAAAATTGGTTTTAGATTCCAGTTGTGCACACGTGCACCTAGTAGTACAGAGAGTTTCCTATATCCCCGGGGCTGGAGGAAGGAAAGATCAGGAAGTTATTGATTAAGGAGCAGAATTTCTGTTTTGCAAGATGAAAAAGTTCTGGAGATGAATGTTGGTGATGGATGTGCAACAATGCAATTATACTTAATGCCACTAAGTTATACACTTAAAAATGATAAAAATGGTAAACTTTGCTATGTGTGCCTTATCACAATTTTAAAAATTGTTGAGATCTTCTCTAATGTCAGTATATGTTCAATTTTTGTAAATGCTCCATATGTACTTAAAATAATGAATTTTCTGCACATTATTTATATTCACTGTGTTGAGTTGTTAATTGTGCCATTCCAAAAATCTATATCTTCAATGATATTTTTGGTTTGCCTTTCATATCACTACTAAGATACATATGGTAAAATGCTTCCCTATATTTGTGGGTTTTGTCTATTTTTCATTGTAATTCAGTATGATACACTGAGGCCATGTCATTTGGTGCATACATATTTGAAATT